AAAAAAAAAAAAAAAAAAACCAAGATCTACAAGAAACACCAAAGCTGTCGCAGACCAGTGTTGTATGAGATGATAACAACTGACTGTATCCTGGTAACCGAGCCTGGATCCTAGAATAAACATACGGGCATTGATGAAAGAAAAATCACTAGTAAAACTCAAACTCCATAGGGTCACAGTATTGTACCAGTGTCAATTTCTTAGCTTGGAGAATTGTACAAACATTATGTAAAATGTTAATACTGGAAAACTTGTGCAAAGGGCATATAATAACTCTCTGTATCATCATTTAAACTTATCAGTAGATGAAAACTATTCCACACAAAAAGTTCATTAATTGGGAGGCAAAGGCAGGCAGTTTGAGTTTAAGGCCAGCCAGAGTGACATAGTGAGATTCTGTCTCAAAAGAGAAAATTTATTCAAAATACATAGGGCAGTGAATAGAGAGCTTGCCTAGCATGCACAAAGCCCTAAACTCAATCCCTAGCACCATATAAACCAAACATGGATGGTACACACTTGTCATTCCAACACTTGGGAGATGGAGACAGGATGATTAGGAATTCAGGGTCATCCCTGGCTACCCAGTAAGTTCAAGGCCAGCCAAGGGTACATAAGACAACGTACATCAGTGGAAGCCATGAGTAGTGGTACTCACCTGCAATTCCAGCACTCAGGAGCCTGAGGCAGGAGGACTGCCACGAATCCCAGGCTAGCCTGGGCTAGAAAGCAAGTACTAGCCAAGCCAATAGTACATAGCAAGTCCCTGATTTAAAAAGTGCTGGGATTACAGGTGTGTGCCACCACTGCCCCGTTTGTAACTGTGACATTTTAAGTGCAAAGATTATTATATCATATTTTTAAAGTCAAATATACTTTCAAGAGACAGACCTAAATTGCAAATGCACAGGAAAGTTCCAAGTTAAAGGTCAGAGGGAAGCAGGTGATGGAAAGCACTTTCAGTGGTAGGATTGACTTCTAACAATGGCTCCCTGAGCAGTACTGGATTGAGCAGTACTGGATTGTGTGTTTTTGTTTTTGTCTTTTGACACAAGGTCTCAGAAAGTCCAGGCTCTAACTCACTATAGCTGAGACTGCCCTTGAACTCCTGGTCTTTCTGCCTCCACATCCTCCCTCCTCCCCTACCTTTACTGGAATATGCAACACTTCTGACGGTAACAAAGGTTTTAAACAAAGCTCTGGAAATAAGGGATATCCAGCAGTGTTCAGGGTGCTGTCCCAACACTTCCTGCTTCTTGGGTCCTTTTGCCCCCACCAACCTCCCACTGCCCCAAAGGGTTTCTTGTGTTGGGAACTTTGAACCAGCCTGTCCACAGTTACAAAGGGATCCTTTCCCCACTCACAAGATAGTTGAGCGTCAGGACCCTTTGACAAGAAGGCACTTTCTTGCCTTTCCAAGTTAAGCCGAGTTTGCCGGAGTAGTGAATACACGGGGTGTCTGGCCAACGAGATGTTTCTGGATAGAAACAATCCGAACCATCAAGCAAACCACACAGACCCTTAAGGGTTGCCAGAAGCCTATTAGGTTGCTTGTTGAGTCTCAAAGAAATAAAAAGGCTCGTTAATGCGGTAAGAGCTCATCTCCGCTCAGACTAACAGTTTTAAAGTCACATTTCTTTGCACACGTTAACACAGAGGCACCTAACTCTTTTTCACCGTACCCCTGGGCTGCGATCACTTCCACCTGGCCCACTTCGGCCCAGGCTGGAAAGCTTCCGGAGGCTCCTCTAATGGCATCACCTTTCTGAGTTCTGAGGATGGATTGCCTCAGGCCGGACACCCCATAGCTTCTAGGACACGCGCCGGGACCCTACCCCGCTGTCACTCACCATTGCAGGTGAAAAGTGTGGCCACAGTGGATGGCAGCCACGTCGCGTGAGTGATCGAAGAAGTCGGAGCAGATAGTGCACAGGGCGCGGATAGGCATGACGGCTCGACTCAAGTGGCCAGACTAGCCCGGGAAACTGCAATAGATCCAGCTTGGTGGCCGAACCGCCGCGGCTCCACTTCCTTCAAATTTCGCTCCACCGCACGACTTCCGGTACTGAACCGGAAGTTATGACAACAAACCCAGGGCTGAGCACTTCGCTCTGATTGGACACACCTCGGGGCGGGGCGGGGCGGGGCGGAGCGCTGGATCGGCTGGGATAAGCGGCCCGCTAGTGGTGCGGAATCCTGGGACTTAACACGGTACCTCTTGGGGATCGCCTAGGAGTGGACTCCCATGTCTACCTAGGAGTGTCCTGCAATGGACTGGGGCGGAAAACAGTGACGCTGCAGGCTGATCCCTATCCCTGCTAAACTTAGTATTGTGTCAAACTAGAGCTGGCGCGAAGCAAACCAGACCTCTTCTCGCTGCACTTCGGGACAATCAAATAGACTGACACCCCAAGGAAAAGAGATGATGGTCCCATGGCTATGGAAAGTGATAGACCATGCTCTGGCAGCCCACAGTTCCCAGACCAAAAGAAGGCCCCCACAGTCTCAGCCTTCTATTATGAATGGTCTTGGAAAGATGAACACATTAAGTCCCAACCCATCAAAACACTACACTAGCCTTGGCTTTATTCAAATATGACCTAATAATCCTCGAAATTAAGTAGCTACTAGGGCCAGTAATTTAGCTCTTACCTCCCAGGTTCCTCATGCCTGGGAATGTAGGATAATGACTTTGGAGGCACAGATGCTTCAAAGACCAGGAAATAACAAACCCTCTTTATTATTCCCACATCAGATAATTTAAGGTCCTCCCTGAGAAAGCAACCCAGGTGAGTTCACCAAATCCCATCTGAGTTGAAGCAAGTCTCCTAAGGAATTTTTACGATATAGTTAGCAGTATCACTCCCCCAGAAGAAACAAACATGACTCCATATTATAAAGCAGATCTGCTCCAGCTGGGGAAGACAGAGTGAAATCTTTTTGGTCTAAGTGGAAAGCACAGGTATTCACAGGAAGTAGGCATCAACATACAGCACAGAACTTATGTGCAATCCCAACCTTTCCCCAGCCCAAAGAGGCCCACTCCAGCCATGAGCAAGGTCTCCTCTCCCTGGTTGGCCCTGAGTGGATTCCATCTCTATGTCCAAGTCAAGACATAGACTCTTTGGTCAACAATAGTTGGAAAAGCATCAGCCCTTCAAGTGCTCATCTCAGGGGAGATAGTTCTTGGCTGAAACACATCCCTCACATGGTTTCCTAGAGTCCAGAGGATCCCCATCAACATCATTCAGGTACACATTGGAGAAGTGACCTTCACTCTCACCCTAAGCAATGCACTGAGCATCAGCCACTACCCAGATACCTGCTCCCAGCCTCTCCCCTCCCCCACTGCCTTCCATGGGCTCCTCCCCAATAGGACAGAGGAAGCAAAGGCAAGAGGGTGGCCAGAGGCTTTGCAGGGTGACGTTTATTTGCCAGGTTCAGCAGGCACACAGTTAGCCCACCAACCTTCACATACCAGAGCAGACCCACAGGCATGCAGGGAGAAGGGCAGGACCACCGTGGAGTGCCCAGCTGGGCAAGGCCCAGCGTGGCTGCCTGTTCAGGCTGTGATTGGGTCGGACCAAGGGTACCTGCCAAGAGCATACCTCCAGTTACTGAGGAATCTTATTCTGCTTCCTCATCCCAGCAAGAGCAACTTAACATGGCTGAGTGATACTCAGCCTGGAATAGCAGAAATAGAGGAAAATCCTCTCTGTGTTGCTGAACAAAGAGCAGAAATCTGCCACTGTCCAAAGCAAACTCTCAAGCAGCCTATGAGGTACTGCCATGCCTCCCTGGGAGGAAGAGGATGTATGGCCTGAGTCTGCATGAGGTGGCCATGAGTAAGATCTCTTCCCGTGGCAGTGGCATCTAGGAAGACCCTGGGGGACACCAGCCCTCCCTATCCAGCTCAGAGCAAGGGCCCAGATAGGGTGGGGTCCTGGTGCTCGCCCTGTACTCTGTTCTAGGTCTCACTGCTGCGCCCTCACTGTGTCTCTCCTTTCCTTCAGAGTTTCCTAAGAATCAGGATACAGAGCAACCCACTACAGGACTAGGGAGGGCAAGAAATAACACAAGGGTCTTCAGAGGGCCTACCCAGGGGAAAAGATGGAAGCTTCTACCCTTCTACCCATTCTCTGAGGATCCCCACAGCTAACGTGCAGTGCCCCCAACCACGTGACCAGACTTGACTTAAAGCACACTGCCCCAGATTTCTGCATCCTCTCTAGCGGCCAGTGTCTAGTCCTAGGGCAGCCCACACACCACAGGTACACACACACCTTCATGTGTGGGAGCCTAACACTGCTGATAGGGCCTCGCTGGAGGACCAGCTCTCAGGGCAAGGCCACCCAATTTAGGGCCTGGGAAAGTACGAGACTTGCAGGGCCTGCCTGGGGAAATGATGAGGCAGGAAGGGGAGGGGAAGGAGAGCAAGGACCCCCTGAGTATCCCTAGAGCAGCATCCCACAAGGAACAGAAACTGGTGAAGCTAGCGAAAGACAGAAAAGCCACAAGGAATCCATGCAGGGGCTGGGGCTGGCCCTGCCTCTGGCCTGCCCACCACTCACACACATTCACACAGGAGACGAGACTGCTCTCCCATGGCCCCCAGGCATGCCCCACTGGGATGAGGGAGCTTGGGGGGAGCTAGAGCATCATGCCAGTGACTCTATATACAGTAAGAAGCCCCTCATCCACACTCCCACCCTCCTTCCCATCCCTCAAGACCCCCAGCAGGCTGCCCGTTCAGCTCATCTTCTCCCTTTGAGACTCCTGGGCACCGCCAGTAGCCTCTTCTCCTTTACTAGAGGGAGGAGCCTGGCCTGTGGCACCCTCTAGGGCTGTGCTGTCCGGCTGGGCCACAGCCGGCTCGGGGGCGGCAGCTGCCTTTGCAGCTGGTATGGCACTGCTTTGGGTGGTGGGTACTGTGCTCTCTTCTGTAGCTGGGGTAGCTCTCCCATCAGTAGCTGGGGTGGCACTCCTGTCAGTGGCCGGAGTGACGCTGCCATCCGTGGCCGGAGTGATGCTCCCATCCGTGGCCGGAGTGACGCTGCCATCCGTGGCTGGAGTGGCGCTGCCATCCGTGGCTGGGGTGGCGCTGCGATCTGCAGAGGCTACATTATCACTCTTGGCAGCGCACCCAGCACCGCCCTCTGTGGCTGCAGTCGCGCTGCTCCCAGAGGCAGCTCCACCCGCAGCGGCGGCGGCGGCGGCGGCGGCGGCAAAGGCCCCACCAGCGGCAGCCCCGGGGGTGGCCGTGTCTGAAGTGGACTGCGCCGCAGCTGCGCCCGACTGCTCTGGCGCCCGGAGCCGTTTCATGAGCGTGGTCACTCGGACAGCCTTCTGAAAAGAGGACAGTGAAGAAAAAGGCTCGTGGTGAGGTTTGCTGGATCCACTCCTTCCAAATGGCGAACCCATCCCTCCCATAGGACCCCGGCTGCCTCCGGCCACCCGGCCAGTCAGTACTTCAGCCTAAGGTAACAGCAGAATCTACGGCCGCTGCCGCTCAGGACAGCCTGGGGAAAATTTGTGCTCAGCTGAAGAGGTGCAGCGGCAGCAAGAAACTGTGGGTGCAAGAAGAAGCACTTGGAACCGGACCAAGAAGAAAGCGAGCCAAGCCCTACCTTCCACTTGGCTCTGGCGAAGTTCTTTTCAATCTGGGCACAGACACCATCCTTGATGTTCTTATCAGAAGCAGCATTACCAGAAATCCTAGAAAGGAGGCCAGTGCCTCTGATGAGATGCTGTGCCTTCGTGGAGACTACACAGCTCTTCCCTGCGTGATCGAGGACCACCAGGCAGAGCCTCTGCTTTGGCCAGAGCTCTAGAAAGCCTCCCTGACTGACCTTCAGGACCTCGAGGATAAGAACTTCTGACGTAAGAAGTTCAGAGGGCAACAGAAACTTGGCCTCCACTTCCCCTGCCCACAGGGCCCTGCTCACCATTCATGAGAGATGGCCTCTTCTGCGGTGATCCGCTGGTCTTGCTCCACCTCCATCAGCCTTGTGACCAGGTCTTTGGCTGGGGACAAAGCCAGGGATGGGCTAGGCAGGGGCGCCCCATCTCATTGTCTAGATGTGGTGAAGGGGCTGGGGGGCAGGAGTAAAATCCAGCAGACGCTGACAGCGGCGCCTCCCTCCCTCCAGCCCTATACTCTGCCCGCCGGCTGGGTCTCTCCTCACCTGCCTGAGAAATATCGTCCCAGTACGGAGAGTCAAACTCATAGTCACCAGCCAGGATCTTGCGGAAGAGATTCTTATCATGGTTCTCATAGTCATCTTCTTCTACCTCCTCATAGAAAGGTGGGTTGCCTGAAAGGCTACATGGAGCAGGGTCACCCGTGACGGCCACAGACACAACTGTCCGGCCAACCTGGCTGCAAGCCCAGCTAGGTGCCCTGTCACTCACAGGATGTACATGATGACACCAATGGCCCAGCAGTCCACAGGGCGTCCGTACCGCTGCCGTCCTACCACTTCCGGGGCTAAAGAAGAAAAGCGTCCATCTGCCGGTCAGTGTCCAGTATACCCATCCATACCCTCTTTCCTGGAACAGAGACTTTTCCCCACCCCAAAGTCTCCCCCTGAAGGCTGTCCCTCCACCATCCCCTGTCCCGTCCCTCCTTGCCCAGATACTCCGGGGTCCCACAGGGCTCCTTGATGAGGCCATTCTCTAGCTTGGCCAGGTGGAAGTCACTGATGACAATCTTTGAGTTCTTCAGCCTGTTGTAGTAGACCAGGTTTTCCAGCTGTCCGGAGCAGAAGGGTGGGCAGACATTACTGTGAGGGCCTCAGAAGCTGGACCAAGGGCCCAGCCTGGCACTCACTCCATCCCCAGCCCGGCTGTCAAGCGATCCAGTCACTCTGGCTCTGGCCTTACCTTGAGGTTCCTGTGCACAATCTTGAGTGAGTGCAAGTAGGCCACAGCCTCCAAGACCTGCCGCACCACGTTGCTCGTGTCTCGCTCCGAGTAGTAGCCCTGGTCCAGGATCCAGTCAAACACCTCCCTCCCCGTGGCCCTGAGGGACACCAGCCCCTGAGCCCGGCGTGGGCAGGAGGACAGAGCATTTGGGAGGCCTGACTTGTAGCAGGCACTTGGCTGGGCAGGGTCCGGGGCCTTGGGACCACAAGGGTTCCAAAAGTGGATTTTTGTGTTTTTTTTAAGCTATAAAAGGAGGAAAAAGAAAAGTCCTAGGGACCGGGGGGATCCTGGAACCCCAGAATGGTACTCACAGCTCCAGGAAGATGAAGTATTCCTTGCGGGTCACAAACACATCTACCAGCTGCAGGATGTTAGGGTGCTTCACCCTAGTAGCAGTGGGGGGAGTCAGTAGTCAGGGCTTGGTGAACCCGAGAGAAGGAGAGAAGCTCTGGTTCCTAAGGTGGGTGGTCATGACAGACTGACTGGCACCTCCTGAGGCCCCCCGCCCGGAAGCCCTTCCCTGCTGTCTCCTACCCCAACTCCTCCCTCAGTCCTCACACTCACATCTTGAGGATGCCAATCTCATTCTTCGCCGCCTTCCGCACCTTACGTCCATCCCGCTTCTGAAACTTCTTGCACGTATGCAGCTTGCCTGTTGTCTTGTCCTTGGCCCGGAAGATTTCACAGAACTCCTCGCTGAAGCCAGCGGGCACTCTGCTCAGCCTGGGCCTTGGGACAGGGGGCACTCCGCTCCCCCCTTCCCCAACTCTGGTCTATCCGCCCATCATTGCCCAATATGCCCAACACTCACGTCTTGATGACTTGTCCCAAATCATATCTGTCAGTCACCTCCGATGGCTGGTTATAGTTCTTCTTGTCGCCCAGAGTCACACACCCAAACGGCATTGCTAGGCTCTAAGATGCAAGCAGGATGAGGTCGGACTCAACTGTACCATTTTCTACCCCCGCCACACACACACACCCCCCAACAACAACATTGAATCTGCTTTTGGGAAACCCCAGCCCAGCCCAGGTCAAGTGAAGGGCAAAGTAGGCAAACACAGGACCTGCTTTGCTTTTTCAGGTCATAGTGCAGCCACTCAAGCTGGCTGCCTGAGCTACAACAGCTCCCACTAACCAAATATTTACCAAGTTGACATATTAGGAAGTAGCTTTTCATTAGATACACTTGAAAAGACTTACAGAACAATTCGTTTACTTACTTAGTTTTGATTTTTGAGACAAGGTCACACTATATCGCCCTAGCTGCTCTGGACTCGATATATAGAACTGGAACTTGCTGGAATCCTCCTGCCTCCAGTAATGGGATTA